TGAAATGAGGTCAAGATTAGATGAAACCTGCCAGTCTGACATGTACACCTAACCATCATTTCATACACCAAATATAGTTGATTCACTGCTTATAGTATCTGAGAAATGGACCTAAACACATAAATAACCTTGATCAGTGATCAATAAAATGAAGTTAAGGTCTGGTGAATCCTGTCTGATAGACACGTAGATCTTTCAAGGATTCCATAGACAAAATATTATTATAAAATCACTCATTATAACTGAGAAATTCACATGATAAAAACTTAAGTTTTTTTAAGCAGTTGCTGAACCTTGAAAAGGAGGTTAAGAACAATGGTCATATGACAGACCAAAACTTCATCACATAAGACATCTATATACAAGGTATGAAACAAACAGGTCTTCTATCTTTTGAAATCTAAAGCTTTATAAATATAGTTTATGCCACTATCACCCGACTGTAATCCCTATGTCTAGCTAATTGTGACTTTTGTCAAGGCGAGACAAAAATAACCTGTGAACAATTCCCTTAGTTATCCAGGTATCATGCTAAGAGTTCCATTTAACTTAAATGTATGAGTCAAATAACCAGGTTTAATTGAAGGATTAAAAATAAAATCTACTTCAAACCTTCAATTTACAATAAGTTTTGAAATATAAGCACATGTTTATCGTAGAATACATCTTATTTTAAGTTTGAACTTTAACAGTAAGAGGAATTACTGAAATAAGTGATTTATAAAATCACTTAAGTAGCAAATTCGAAATTTTGTAGTTTTACCAAAATTTTAAACATATAGGTTTAGATTATATCTTATCATTAGTAAAATTGGAAAAAATGAACCTTTTTCTTCTTTTAAATAGCAAGGTTTATGCCTTTGGTCAGGGCTCACGCTACCAGGCGACTAGGGCGAAGAAGTCGCTTTCCTGGCCGTCACTTTGCTTTGCCAGACCCTCAAAAGGGAAAACAAGTCGCCTGTTGTTTACGATACTCGCTTTCAGTCGCTTTCGTCATCGGCAATAAATGCCAATATTCCATTTTTACCAAGTCGATGAAACAGCAATTTTTCATTTAAAAGTAAAGAAATTCAAGGCATAAACTATTTATTTTCATCAGAAAAGAGGTTAAAGTATTTATTTTAATTTTATTTTAAATGATATAACAACTTTCTTTTCCTTTTTGATATAAAAAAAAATCTTTTTTATTATTGCCAGATATTTAATTGGTTTTTTTTCTGACAAGAGGACTCATATGATTGTGCAACTAGATATGATAAAATTAAACAAGTTATTTTAATTGTATACCCAGGTACAAATTGAACAATATAAAAAATAAAAATAAGATACATATTAATATGGCACTTAAATTGACTTAATGTATTATAGTAATAAAATGCTCCGCAGGGCACAGCTTGATACGACCGCAGAGGTCGAACCCTGAACAGTTGGGGCAAGTATGGACACAACATTCAAGCTTGATACAGCTTTGCATTTGGATTGTGATTAAATATTTGACACAGCATAGGTTTCTGACACAGAATGAATGTGGTCTAAGAACTTAAGAACTTAAATTGGACATTCACCTATTATGGTCCAATATCCAAAATCTAAAATCTAGATTCATCATATCAAAGAACCCCAAGAATTCAATTTTTGATGAAATCAAACAAAGTTTAATTTTGGACCCTTTTGACCTCAATGTGGACAAAGTTGATAACGGGGCCACAAAAACAAAAATCTAAATACATGGTTAGATTCAGCATATCAAAGAACCCCATATATTCAATTTTTGTTGAAATCAAACAAAGTTTAATTTTGGACCCCGATTTGGACCAACTTGAAAACTGGGCCCATAATCAAAAATCTAAATACATGTTTAGATTCAGCATATCAAAGAACCCTAAGAATTCAATTTTTGTTAAAATCAAACTAAGTTTAATTTTGGACCCTTTGGACCTTAATGTAGACCAATTTGAAAACGGAACCAAAAATTAAGAATCTAAATACACGGTTAGATTCGGCATATCAAAGAACCCCAATAATTCATTTTTTGATGAAATCAAACAAAGTTTAATTTTGGACCCTTTGGACCTCAATGTGGACCAATTTAAAAACGGGGCCCAAAATCCAAAAACTAAATACACGGTTAGATTCAGCATATTAAAGAACCCCAAGAATTCAAGAATAAAACCCCATTGAAATTGGTCAAGAAATAAGCAATTTATACGAAGTATCTTCTTTTGCACAATACCGTGCAATTAAATATTTCTTGCTATTGCCCAATACTGTACAATTGACAATTTTTTGCTATTGTGCAATATTGTGCTATTGGATATTTCTTGCTATTGCGCAATACTGTGCAATTGAAGATTTCTTGCTATTGCGCAATAATGTGCAATTGAAGATTTCTTGCTATTGTGCAATACTGTGCAATTGAAAATTTCTTGCTATTGCACAATACTTATTATATAATAATTTACACATCCTGTTTGGTGTGTATCTCCTACCATATCATTATTATTTGCTTTTAAATATAAATCAGAAATAACCAACTTAAAATGGAAAATTTTAAAAGAAAAAAAAAAGGAAAAAAAGAAAAAAAAGGAAAAAAAAAATCCCCCCCCCGAAATTTTTTGAACCCCCTTATGATTCATCACCCCCAAACTCAATCCCAGCCTTCCCTTTGTGGTATGGTACCTTGCAGTACAATTTCAGAGAGATCCATACACTTGAACACAAGTTATTGTCTGGAAACTAGAAAAATGTGTTTTTTGGCCCCAAATTCCTAAACGTTTAGGGCAATTACCCCCAAACTCAAACCCAGCTTTCCCTTTGTGATATGGAACCTTGTAGTACAATTTCAGAAAGATCCATACACTTACACACAAGTTATTGTCCTGAAACTAGAAAAATGCTGGTTTTTTGCCCCTTTTTGGCCCCTAATTCCTAAAATTTTGAGGCAATTACCCCCATCATCAATCCCAGCCTTCCCTTTGTGGTATGGTACCTTGCAGTACAATTTCAGAGAGATCCATACACTTGAACACAAGTTATTGTCTGGAAACTAGAAAAATGTGTTTTTTGGCCCCCAATTCCTAAACGTTTCGGCAATTACCCCCAAACTCAATTCCAGCTTTCTCTTTGTGATATGGAACCTTGTAGTACAATTTCAGAAAGATCCATACACTTACACACAAGTTATTGTCATGAAACTAGAAAAATGCTTGTTTTTTGCCCCTTTTTTGAGGCAATTACCCCCAAAATCAATCCCAGCATTCCTTTTGTGATATGGAACCTTGTGGTACAATATCAGAGAGATCCATACACTAACACAGAAGTTATGTCTGGAAGTTACAAAAATGCTTATTTTTGGCCCCTTTTTGGCCCCTAATTCCTTTACTGTTGGTTCCATAACCCCCAAAATCAATCCCAACCTTCCTTTTGTGGTATTGAACCTTGTGGCAAAATTTCATAGAGAACCATTCACTTAAAAAGTTAGAGTGCGAAAACCAATGTGTCTTCGGACGACGCTGGACAACGACGACGACGCCAACGTCATACCAATATACGACCACAAAAATTTTTTTGCGGTCGTATAAAAACCAAACATTGTAGCGCCCCGAGCAAACAAGCACTTCTTTTTCAAATCTCACCACTTCTCCCTCTCAATTTCAAAAAGAGAAGTCACTTCTCCCTATGATTCTGAAGTAGTGTGAGCCCTGCTGGTGCAATCATTAGCTGTAAATTCTATATTTGTTGAAAAAATGCTATAATGAAGGCTTTACATAATGAACTGATACTTTCTTAACAGATTTTTCCCAGCAGTGGGAGTAATTTTCCTGTAAAATTCAAGGTTTCATCTTACAGATTATGTAATAAAATTTTACTGTTCGCGATCAAAATTTCACTGTTTGGGGGTGTTGAAATTAGTAGGGGTAATTAAAATAATAATACTTAAAGAAGTGATTTTTTGGAAGAAAATAGAGGTATGATACTTAAACAATTGATTTTCATGTCATTATCCCAGATTCAGTACAAGGTCATCACCTGACATGACCGGTCATCCTATCAACACAGATGTTGGTTCTGATCATTTTTGCAACATAATTAGTCCCTGGATAATTAGTATTGTATATTTAAAGCTACATTAAAATTAAATCACTTAGTCTAGTGATTTATTTGTACTACTTGAATAGGTGATTATTAAAGAAAGACAACTCTTACTTCCAACATTTGTGGACAAAATGCTACTTGAATCAGTGATTTAAAAATCACTCATTTAAGTAAGTCCCCTGACTGTTCAAAGTCATATGATAGTTCACATTTGAAGAAAAAAAGTTGAATATCTTTTATATATTTGAATGGCTCAGTTTAAATTTAATACTATAAAACAAGTGTACATGGACTTTCTCTGGATAGTACTTTAGCAACTGAAGAGCACAGGTGCCAGTGAAAATCCATGATACAAGAAACTGTAAACAAACATTGAAGTAAGATAGTGTTAGTTGATCATGAAAGAAAATTTAATTACACTAAATCATTTAGTAATGGTTATGACAAAATTTAATTAACAAATAGAAACTTGTGGGAAAAAAATAAATTAAGCATTGCTCTATTGCATGTCTATCAATCTCACTTATTTTTCAAGTGCTCCATGATTCTGTGTTGATTGTTTATTAAAGTCACGTTTGAAAAAAAACAATAGAACACACAGTTAATAAGCAGGGAAAATTTTCACTGAATGAAAGATTTTTGTCAACTATGTTAAGGATTTGTAAAAAATGTTAATCTTGCATAGAGGACTTAGTATATATACATGCATTGGTTCAATAATTTCCTAAACTTTTCATTTTAAGAAACTTGTTGCATAGACTTTAACATTACCATCATGACCATACTCATATTCAGTAAAATTGGCATCTAAATATTTGTAGTTCCTTCGGGAAATTTGCCAAAATTATATTCGGAAAATTTGCCAAAATTATATGTGAAAAACAGACAACAACTACCTTAATTACCTTGATTAATCTTGGAAGTGTCATTACATGTTTGTCGATAACAGGAACAGTCTTCTTGTGAAGATGTACAATGACAGTTGTTCATAGGGGATGATACAAACATGTACCCTTTGTTGTAATCACATCTACATGTCATGTCTGCTGTTGTTGATCCATTTGTATGAACTACTTGTCCCTCCTCATTGCAAACAGATTTCTGATAAACACATTTGTTTCCAACATTTGAAAACATAGGCCTTGGTTGGTATCTGTCAGGAGGACATCTTACTGAATCCAAGTTACCACTGATCGAGTCCAAAATTGAATAAAAACCTAAAATTAAAAGATTTTTGCTTTGCATCACGGTGCAGAGCTATTAGTTTCAGTCGATATACACGCCATCTTGAAATAATTACTTATCACATAAAGATTCTGATTGGTTGCTTTATGATTCGGCTGAGATACAGCAACAGCTATTGGCTTAAATGAGATAAAGAATTACAGACTTTTCTCGTCTCAGGATAAGATATCAAATGCCGGAAAATTAACTATGTGTATTTCAGTTCCAATCAAGTGTTATTAATTCATGTTCGTTTTATTATGCAAATATTGCACACTGAAATTCAATATTGAAATATCAATTGTTTAACAGCTGTTTATTTGCTTTGTTAATCTGTAATATGCACGATTTGTTTAGCTAAACAATGTTCCTATACAATGTTTACAAAAATGCATTAACTGTATTTTATAACTTCTGCCAATCTGGGCACACCTCCAGCGAGGCACACCTCGAGAGTCGTGTTTTGTAAATGTTTTAAATTTCAACAAGTAAATCGAAATTTTTTTTAAAAGCATTGGTGTATAACGTACAACACTGAACAGCCAGTTTAAAATTTTAGAAAAGTTCATCTTAATATATATACAAAAATTGATATTCCAAGTCTAAGACATCCATTTTATATCAATGAATCAATATCTAAAAATACCACATTTTCAATACTAAATCAACACCCACATGCACACGTATTACCTTAAATTAGGATAGAGCGAAACAGTCCACAGCTTTTTAAAAAGCTCAAACTTGTATTAACTAACTTTGAAATTACTTTAAATTTTATTGCATGATTTCCATTTTCCAATGCTGAACAATTAATTCAATGTTTTACTCATGCTAGAATATTAACAACATTAATAACAAAAACTTCAGTTTTTCTATTTATATTCTACTTCAACATGTACATGATGTATAGGAGACACATAATTCAACCTTTCATTATCTGATTATTGTCAAAAGACTATATATTTTCATTTTACATACATTTGACTCCGTAGTATATAGTTTTTCAACAGATTACCTACTCTGTAGTAGGACATTCTGTTACTCTGTCAAGTAAGAGCAACTAAAAGTAAAATCAAGCTTACAATTGGTAAAATTTGGGGGGAAAATTAACTGTTATAAGTTTACCATATATGACAAAATCATCAGAAAACAGTTAACTTTAATTTTCCCCAAAATTGCACAGATTGTAAGCTTGATTTTAATTTTTTGAATTGCTCTTACTTGACAAAGTACCAAGAGTTTGAAAACCCGTCACACTCACTATCTGGTCAAAGAAAGGCCAGAATAGAATTGTGATTTAACTAAATCAATTGAGGTCAAAATAAACATTTTTTTTACCAAATGCATGAAGTAAGATATTTGATTTATTATGCCTAACCTTACAATCTATATATGTAAATGACTGATATATTCAAATGCATAATGTACTTAGTCAAGAAGATAACACAGTTCCATTATGTATTTGAATTAAGATATATTTGTGTATAAATGTGTATTTCTAGGAAATTTTACAAAAAAATGATGAAGTTCAACCATACATGTATCTAAATTTATCAAATATAGACAAAACATTTGAGCACGCTTTAGAGTAACTATGTGGCTTAATTATGATATTATGTTTGATTTCTTTGCCAGATTTATATCATAGATATTACTTCATGGCTTTTTTCTTCAATTCAGTTGTGGTGTGATCACCAGTTTGCAAAGAATTCCCCTCAAACCGGTGCTAGGGACTGACTTAAACTTGCAGTGAAGTGAGTTTTAAGCTCCAAGTTGAAAGCCTCAATGTGGCTTTGAGATGAAAAACAGAAATAAAAGTGCTGTTCCTTTGCTTTTGTATTTTTTGCTGTGCATATACTGATTTTGTGTCATGGATGGATACCCCATCCCCATATACATGATATATCTTTTTTTTCTATTAAACAAGAGTGCACATGCTGAAATGTCTCGCCTCATTTACTAACCATTGATTTTATGTTGATAGTCCTAAATTTAATATAAAGCTTTACTACAAGTATCACATAAACTTAAAATGATCCAAGAAAATGAGGCCAAGGTCAGATAAACCAAACAAGAAATACATGTCATGGTGGATGCATGTACACCTTACAATCATTCAATACACTAAATATAGTTGACCTATTGCTTATAGTTTCTAAGAAACACCTAACCAAGAAAACTAAACATTGACCAAGGTCAAGGTCAGACGAACCATGCCAGGCAGACACGTACACCTTACAATCCTTCCATACAACAAATATAGTTGACCTATTGCATATAGTTAAAGAAAATAAATGTGGAATGTGTCCATGCTTGCATATCATATAAAGATATAAAGGGACATAACTGAAGAACGGTAAAAGTGATGATACCCAAATTTGTACTTGATCTGAGTTTTGGGGTAATAAGCATTGTGTATAAGTTTCATAACATTTGGTTGAGGCAAACTAAAGTTAGAGGAAACGAAAAATTCAGCAATTTTTATGTTTATAAAGGGGCATAACTCAAGAACGGTAAAAGTGATGCCACCCAATTTCAAACTTTATCTGTATTATGTGGTAATAAGTATTGTGTATAAGTTTCATAACATTTGTTTGAGGCAAACTAAAGTTAGAGAACGGAAACAAAATATTCAACAATTTTTATGTTTATAAAGGGGCATAACTAAAGAACGGTATAAGGAACACCACCCAATTTTGAACTTGATCTGTATTATGTGGTAATAAGCATTGTGTATAAGTTTCATAACATTTGGGTGAGGCACACTAAAGTTAGAGAACGAAAACGAAAAACTCAGTAATTTTTATGTTTATAAAGGGGCATAACAAAATAACCGTTATCGTGACGGCACCCAATTTCAAACTGGATCTGTGTTTTGTGGTAATAAGCATTGTGTATAAGTTTCATAACATTTGGTTGAGGCAAAATAAAGTTAGAGAACGGAAACCAACTTTTAGGACGTACGTATGTACAGACGGACAAGGGTAAAACTTAATGCCCCCTCCGCTATGGCGGGGGCATAAAAAGACCAAAACTAAAAAACTTAACTTTGACCACTGAACCATGAAAATGAAGTCAAGGTTAGATGAACCCTGCAAGACAGACATGTACACCTTAAAATCATTCCATGCTTCAAATATAGTTGACCTATTGCTTATAGTATCTAAGAAACAAAGTTAACCAGGAAAACTGAACATTGACCAATGAACCATGAAAATGAGGTCAAGGTCAGATGATACCTGCCAGACAGACGTATACACCTTACAATCATTCCATACACCAAATATATTTGACCTATTGCTTAAAGTTTAAGAAAAACAGACCAAAACACAAAAACTTAACACTGAGAAATGAACCATGAAAATAAGGTCAAGGTCAAATAAAACCTGCCAGACTGACATGTACATCGTAAAATATTTCCATACACCAAATATAGTTGACCTTTTGCATACAGTATTAGAACAAGAGTGCACACGCTGAAATGTCTCGCCTTCTTTACTAACCATTGATTTTATGTTGATAGTCCTAATTATAAAGCTTTACTACAAGTATCACATAAACTTAACATGATCCAAGAAAATGAGGTCAAGGTCAGATAAACCAAACGAGAAATACATGTACACCTTACAATCATTCAATACCAAAACATAGTTGACCTATTGCTTATAGTTTCTAAAAAACAGTCTTAACCAAGAAAACTTAACATTGACCAATGAACCATGAAAATGAGGTCAAGGTCAGATGAACCATGCCAGACAGACATGTACACCTTACAATCAATTTATTCATTAAATATGACCTATTGCTTATAGTATCTAAGAAACAAACTTAACCATGAAAACTTAACATTGACCAATGAACCATGAAAATGAGGTCAAGGTCAGATGATACCTGCCAGACAGACATATACACCTTACAATCATTCCATACAACAAATACAGTTGATCTATTGCTTATAGTTGAAGAAAAACAGACTAAAACACAAAAATTTAACACTGTGAAAATGAGGTCAAGGTCATATAAAACCTGCGAGACTGATATGTACATCATAAAATGTTTCCATACACCAAATATAGTTGACCTATGGCATATAGTATTAGAAAAAAAGACCAAAACTCAAAAACTTAACTTTGACCACTGAACCATGAAAATGAGGTCAAGGTCAGATGACACCTTCCAGTTGGACATGTACACCTTACAATCATTCCATATACCAAATATAGTAGACCTACTGCTTATAGTATGTGACGCCGACGGAATGTAGGATCTCTATGTCTCGCTTTTTCGACTAAAGTCGAAGGCTCGACAAAAAAGATACAAAAAGAAACCAAAGGCCGAATACCAAATTATTGCCCATATCCAAAATCTAAATACATACACGGTTAGATCAGCATAATTCAATTTTTGTTAAAATCAAACAAAGTTTAATTTTGGACCCTTTGGACCTTAATGTAGACCAATTTGAAAACAGGACCAAAAATTAAGAATCTAAATACACGGTTAAATTCAGCATATCAAAGAACCCCAATATTTCACTTTTTGATGAAATCAAACCATATCATTATTATTTGCTTTTATATATAAACAAGAGTGCACACGCTGAAATGTCTCGCCTTCTTTACTAATCATTGATATTATGTTGATAGTCCTAAATATAAAGCTTTATTACAACTGTCACATAAACTTAACATTAACCAAGAAAACTAAACATTGACCAATGAACCATGAAAATGAGGTCAAGGTCAGATAAACCATGCCAGGCAGACATGTACAGTTAACAATTCTTCCATATAACAAATATAGTTGACCTATTGCTTATAGTTTAAGAAAAACAGACCAAAACACGAAAACTTAACACTGAGCAATGAACTGTGAAAATGAGGTCAAGGTCATATAAAACCTGCGCGACTGACATATAGATCATAAAATATTTCCATACACCAAATATAGTTGACCTATTGCATATAGTATTAGAAAAAAAGATCAAAACACAAAAACTTAACTTTGACCACTGAACGATGAAAACGAGGTCAAGGTCAGATGACACCCGCCAGCTAGACATGTACACCTTACAATCATTCCATACACCAAATATAGTAGACCTATTGCATACAGTATAAGAAAAACAGACTAAAACACAAAAACTTACTATAACCACTGAACCATGAAAATGAGGTCAAGGTCAGATGACACCTGGCAGTTGGACATGTACACCTTACAGTCCTTCCATACACCAGATATACTAGACCTATTGCTTATAGTATCTGAGATATCGACTTGACCACCAAAACTTAACCTTGTTCACTGATCCATGAAATGAGGTCGAGGTCAAGTGAAAACTGTCTGACTGGCATGAGGACCTTGCAAGGTATGCACATACCAAATATAGTTATCCTACTACTTATAATAAGAGAGAATTTAACATTGCGAAAAATGTTAACTTTTTTTTCAATTAGTCACTGAACCATGAAAATGAGGTCAAGGACATTGGACATGTGACTGACAGAAACTTTGTAACATGAGGCATCCATATACAAAGTATGAAGCATCCAGGTCTTCCACCTTCTAAAATATAAAGCTTTTAAGAAGTTAGCTAACGCCGCCGCTGCAGCCGGATCACTATCCCTATGTCGAGCTTTCTGCGACAAAAGTCGCAGGCTCGACAATAAAAAATAACCAACTTAAAATGGAAAAAAAACTAGAGGCTCTCAAGAGCCTGTGTCGCTCACCTGTATTTACTGATGCTTTGGAAATCATGTAAAATAAGGTTAAAATCATAATTAATAGTATTAGATATTAGATATTATAATGATATCTAAGATAATAACAAAAAACTGCAAAATTTTTGTAAAATTACTAACTCAGGGGCAGCTACCCAACAACGGGTTGTCGGATTCGTCTGAAAATTTCAGGGCAGATAAATCTAAATCTGATGAACATTTTTGCTCCCTGTCAGATTTGCTCTAAATGCTTTAGTTTCAGAGATATAAACCAAAAACTGCATTTTACCCCTATGTTCTATTTTTAACCAAGTCGGCCATGATAGTTGGAAGGCGGGGTCATCGGAAATTTTTTTTAAACTAGATACCCTAATAATGATTATGGCCAAGTATGGTTAAATTTGTCTCAGTAGTTTCAGAGAAGAAAATTTTTGTAAAAGATTACAAAAATTTACAAAAAAATTGTTAAAAATTGACTATTAAGGGCAATAACTCCTAAAGGGGTCGACTGACAATTTTGGTCATGACAACTTATTTGTAGATCTTACTTTGCTGAACATTATTGCTGTTTACATTTTGTCTCTATCTATAATAATATTCAAGATAACCAATAAAATGCTCCGCAGGGCGCAGCTTGATACGACCGCAGAGGTCGAACCCTGAACAGTTGGGGCAAGTATGGACACAACATTCAAGCTTGATACAGCTCTGAATTTGGATTGTGATTAAATATTTGACACAGCATAGGTTTCTGACACAGAATGAATGTGGTCTAAGAACTTAAATTGGACATTCACCTATTATGGTCCAATATCCAAAATCTAAATACATGGTTAGATTCAGCATATCAAAGAACCCCAATAATTCAATTTTTGATGAAATCAAACAAAGTTTAATTTTGGACCCTTTTGACCTCAATGTGGACCAATTTAAAAACGGGGCCCAAAATCCAAAAACTTAATACACTGTTAGATTCAGCATATATAAGAACCCCAAGAATTCAAGAATAAAACCCCATTGAAATTGGTCAAGAAATAAGCAATTTATACGAAGTATCTTCTTTTGCACAATACTGTGCAATTGAATATTTCTTGCTATTGCGCAATACTGCACAATTGACAATTTCTTGCTATTGCGCAATATTGTGCTATTGGATATTTCTTGCTATTGCGCAGTATTGTGCTATTGGATATTTCTTGCTATTGCGCAATACTGTGCAATTGAAGATTTCTTGCTATTGCGCAATACTGTGCAATTGAAGATTTCTTGCTATTGTGCAATACTGTGCAATTGAAAATTTCTTGCTATTGCACAATACTTATTATATAATAATTTACACATCGTGTTTGGGTGTATCTCCTACCATATCATTATTATTTGCTTTTAAATATAAATCAGAAATAACCAACTTAAAATGGAAAATATTAAAAGAAAAAAAAAAGGAAAAAAAGAGAAAAAAGGAAAAAAAAAAAAATCCCCCCCCCCAAATTTTTTGAACCCCCTTATGATTCATCACCCCTAAACTCAATCCCATCCTTCCCTTTGTGGTATGGTACCTTGCAGTACAATTTCAGAGAGGTCCATACACTTGAACACAAGTTATTGTCTGGAAACTAGAAAAATGTGTTTTTTGGCCTCTTTTTGGCACCCAATTCCTAAACGTTTCGGGCAATTACCCCCAAACTCAATTCCAGCTTTCCCTTTGTGATATGGAACCTTGTAGTACAATTTCAGAAATATCCAAACACTTACACACAAGTTATTGTCATGAAACTAGAAAAATGCTTGTTTTTTGCCCCTTTTTTGGCCCCTAAAATGGCCTAATTCCTAAAATTTTGAGGCAATTACCCCCAAAATCAATCCCAGCATTCCCTGTGTGATATGGAACCTTGTGGTACAATTTCAGAGGGATCCATACACTTGAACACAAGTTATTGTCTGGAAACTAGAAAACTGCTTATTTTTGGCCCCATTTTGGCCCCTGCTTCCTAAACGTTTCGGGCAATTACCCCCAAACTCAATTCCAGCTTTCCCTTTGTGATATGGAACCTTGTAGTACAATTTCAGAAAGATCCATACACTCTCACACAAGTTATTGTCATGAAACTAGAAAAATGCTTGTTTTTTGCCCCTTTTTTGGCCCCTTATTCCTAATATTTTGAGGCAATTACCCCCAAAATCAATCCCAGCATTCCCTTTGTGATACGAAACCTTGTGGTACAATGTCAGAGAGATCCATACATTTAAACACAAGTTATGTCTGGAAGTTACAAAAATGCTTATTTTTGGCCCCTTTTTGGCCCTTAATTCCTTAACTGTTGGTACCATAACCCCCAAAATCAATCCCAACCTTCCTTTTGTGGTATTGAACCTTATGGTAAAATTTCATAGAGATCCATTTACTTAAACTAAAGTTATTGTGCGAAAACCAATGTGTCTTTGGACGACGACGCCAATGTCATACCGATATACGACCGCAAAATTTTGCGGTCGTATAAAAACTGACAAAAAGTATGCCCCTACAAAAAATTTTGGTGCTGAATTTTATTGTGAACAGCATTTTTATGGTGTTTTTGCAGTCTATACATTGAAATTTGTCCTTATATAAGCATAAAAAATGTAACAAAACTAAATACCAGGAGTTGTAACTTTTCGTTTTTTGCATGTTTCCCTATATTCATCCTCATCAGAAAGCTGTAAGCAGTGATAATCATTTGACTTCTCTGGACATCTCCATTTTGCAATGAACATCCATGCTATTCTATCAGGACAATAAATTGAATAATAATCAATTTTAGCAAATAATGTTACAGGTATGTTTTCCAGTTTTACCTGAAAAAATAAGTGAATAAAATTTATGTAAGAAGAAAACAGTTTGCAACATCAATATTGAATCAAGTTACATTTATGTTTATGTACATGTTACTATGATGTATGCACTGTACTTGTATGTAGTTGTCACATGTAATAACATAATGATAAGACAAAGAAATAAAGCCCTTCAAGCCAATTATGACATAATCACATTGAGCAGTTTGAATGAAACTTTGGTGAATTGTTTATATCTATTGATGTACGCTCCCTTTTTGATTTTTATAAATTTTACATTTTACATTTCCGAGTTATCATGGTTGTGGGATAATATTCATAAATAAGTGGCTCCAAGGAGCTTTTGTCGCTCACCTGATATTTTTGTTTACAATTGATGCATGAAATAATGCAACCATTTATACTTTTGCTTTATATTAGTTTCAGATATATAAGCCAAAAACTACATTTTACCCATATGTTCTATTTTCAGCTATGTCAGCTTATTTGGTTGGCATGCGGAGTCATGGGACACATTTTTTAAACTACATACCCTAATGATGATTGTGGCCAAGTTTGGTTAAATTTGTCTCAGTAGTTTCAGAGAAGATTTTTGTTGACTTACTTGTAGATCTTACTTTGCTGAACATTATAGCTGTTTACAGTTTATCTCTATCTATAATAATATTCAAGATAATAACCAAAAACTGCAAAATTTCCTTGAAATTACCAATTCAGGGGCAGCAACCCAACAACGGAGTGTCTGATTGGTCTGAAAATTTCAGGGCAGATAGATCTAAACCTGATGAACATTTTTACCCCGCTCTAAATGCTAAAGTTTCAGAGAAATAAGCCAAAAACTGCATTTTACCCCTATGTTCTATTTTTAGCCATGTTGGCCATGTTGGTTGGCCGGTGGGGTCATCGCACACATTTTTTAACAAGATACCCTAATGATGATTGTGGACAAGTTTGGTTGAATTTGTCTATGTAGTTTCAGAGGAGAAGATTTTTGTAAAAGTTTACAAAAACTTACAAAAAGTTGTTAAAAATTGACTATAAGGGGCAATAACTCCTTGAGGGGTCAGTTGACAATTTTGGTCATGTTGACCTATTTGTAGATCTTACTTTACTGAACATTATTGCTGTTTACACTTTATCTCTATCTATAATAATATTCAAGATAATAACCAAAAGCTGCAAAATTTTCTTAAAATTACCAATTCAGGGGCAGCAACCCAACAACGGGTCGTCTGATTGGTCTGAAAATTTCAGGGCAGATAGATCTAAACCTGATGAACATATTTACCCCAATGTCAGATTTACTCTAAATGCTTGAGTTTCAGAGATATAAGCCAAAAACTGCATTTTACCCCTATGTTCTATTTTTAGCCATGGCGGCCATGTTGGTTAGCAGGCGAGATCGTCGGACACAATTTTCAAACTAGATACCCCAATGATGATTGTGGCCAAGTTTGGTTAAATTTGGCCCAGTAGTTTCAGAGGAAAAGATTTTTGTAAAAGTTAACAGACGACGACGATGGACACCAAGTGATGAGAAAAGCTCACTTGGCCCTTTTGAACCTGGTGAGCTAAAAAGGGGTGATTTTCAAATTTTCTGACAATAACTCAAAGTGCTTTGAGTAGTTTTCATGGAACTTTGGTGACTGGTTTATACCTATAACTAGAGGCTCTAAAGAGCGTGTGTCGCTCACCTTGGTCTATGTGCATATTAAACAAAGGACACAGATGGATTCATGACAAAATTGTGTTTTGGTGATGGTGATGTGTTTGTAGATCTTACTTTACTAAACATTCTTGCTGCTTACAATTATCTCTATCTATAATGAACTTGGCCCAGTAGTTACAGTGGAAAATATTTTGTAAAAATTTACAAAAATTGTAAAAAATTGGCTATAAAGGGCAATAACTCCTTAAGGGGTCAATTGACAATTTTAGTCATGTTGACTTATTTGTAGATCTTACTTTGCTGTACATTATTGCTGTTTACAGTTTATCTCTATCTATAATAATATTCAAGATAATAACCAAAAACAACAAAATTTCCTTAAAATTACCAATTCAGGGGCAGTAACCCAACAACGGGTCGTCTGATTGGTCTGAAAATTTCAGGGCAGATAGATCTAGACCTGATAAACAATTTTACCTATTTCAGATTTGCTCTAAATGCTTTGGTTTCAGAGATATAAGCCAAAATCTACATTTTACCCCTATGTTCTATTTTAAGCCATGGCGGCCATCTTGGTTGGTTGGCTGGGTCACCGGACACATTTTTAAAACTAGATACCCCAATGATGATTGTGGCCAAGTTTGGTCAAATTTGTCTATGTAGTTTCAGAGGAGAAGATTTTTGTAAAAGTTAACGACGACAGACGACGACGACAACGGACGCCAAGTGATGAGAAAAGCTCACTTGGCCCTTTGGGCCAGGTGAGCTAAAAATAACCTACCTTTAGTTTTTTATAAATTTCTGACATTGACGAGCTATAGAACTTTATTCTTTGAAAAAGCAAGACATATCATCATGATCATGTGCTCATGGCGCAGCTCTTTATTAATTTTGGGCCCCATTTTCAAATTAATCAACATTTAGGTCCAAAGGGTTCAAATTGAACTTTGTTTGATTATAACAAATATTGAATATATGGGGTTCTTTCGTATTATGAATCTAAACATGTATCAGATTTTTTTATTTTTGGCCCAATTTTCAAGTTGGTCCAAAATAAACATTGTTTGATTTCAGGGCAGATAGATCTAAACCTGATGAACATATTTACCCAATGTCAGATTTACTCTAAATGCTTTAGTTTCAGAGATATAAGCCATATATGTTCTATTTTTAGCCATGGCGGCCATGTTGGTTAGCAGGCGGGGTCGTCGGACACACTTTTCAAACTAGATACCCCAATGATGATTGTGGCCAAGTTTGGTTAAATTTGGCCCAGTAGTTTCAGAGGAGAAGATTTTTGTAAAAGTTAACGAACGACGACGAACCAAAGTCAGATTAATTCTGCCAGACAGAAATGCACATCTTCTGACACACCAAAGTTTATAACAGACGACGGACGCCAAGTGATGAGAAAAGCTCACTTGGCCCACTGGGCCAGGTGAGCTAAAAAGGATTAAAAGCAAGAGGCTAAAAGTACCCATGAATATATATACCAGATATATGCTCCTTAGTAAGAACTGAAAAATACGGATACTTACACCATGTAAACAGAACAAGAACAGGATAGATAACAGCACTTTATTCCACCTGAAATGGATATATAAAAAATGACTGCTTAGTAGGGGAAACAAAAAATAATAAAAGTGTGAAAGCACTGAAAAAGGCATAAGCTGTATACATCATGTACATACTAAGAAATATATGCATGTGTTTTAGTGTTCCCACTTTCAGTATAATCTTTTATCACAGTTCACGTAATAATTCCATTCCTAATATCACCACAAAAAAACAATTTAATATTTAATTTGACAATTATCAGTTAAGTTAAACTGGCGTATTTGGTTTTGTTTCCTCGTCTCATTCATGTTGTCATTCTTCGTTTCTTTAAATTTTGTCAACTTTTAATTTCATCTTGTTCATCATGTTTTAATTTCATTTCTCATTTAAGTACCCCCTATGACCCCTGAGCCTGAGGCCAGTCAGGAATGAAAAATCTTCCATGTGCACAGGTTTCTGTGGGGTCAGAATAAATTTTGTAAATATCGATATGACCGTATATGATGTCAGATGAAGTGTTATGATGAACCTTAAGAAGCTCTGACTGTCAACTCATTCAACTTCAAATACAGTCCCACACCCAAACTACTTGCGTAACATTAGATGAAAAAATCAAATTTGACATACACACGGATACAGTGCATAAAAAGCAAACAATGCATTAAATGTTATACGAGAAATAATATGAATAAAGGGCCTAGGAAAAATCTCAAGAACAAAACTACTTCAGATATATAACAGCATGGTTAGATCTATCATTGATTACCCATGCCCAGTTTGGCAGATAACATCAATGAAAATATGAAAAAACTGGAAGCAATACAAAGATTGATTGATTGATTGATTTTTGGTGTTTAACGCCACTTTTAAGCACCGCTTTTGGGCTATTTCGTGGCGGCCATTTTTTATTGGTGGAGGAAGCCGGAGTGCCCGAGAAAACCACCGACCTTCGATAGGAAAACTGACAATCCTAGTCAATTAAGATTGGAGTCGAGTGCAACCGCACGAGCGGGGTTCGAACTCACAACCTCAGTGTTGACTGGCTAGTGATTACAGTAGTAACTACTTAAACCACTCGGCCACCGAGGCCCCGCAATACAAAGAAAAGGATTATCAGTCTGCCTTGGATTACCAGGAACAGCAGGTAGAGAAGCAATGGAAGAAGAGGCTGATATGCAACCAATCGACCTCCGAATGAAAGAAATCTCAGTGCGAGAAATAGCAAAAATCCAATAAAAAAACATAGCCGAACCAATCAAACAACAGATGGAGGAGTATCTTACCAACAATGATACATATGAACGACAAGAATCTCCATTTGGTAAGGCTATAAATCAGGCTATGGACATGCTTAAAACAACAAAAGTAGACATAAAACTTATAGAACCAGAGTTTACCTACAAGGCAGGAGCGATTTTATGCTGATGAGAGCACCAAGCTACTGGAGCCGACTAGGAAGCTTGAAAAACAGAACCGCAGAACAAACTGCCCAAAGCAAACAAGTCGTACAAGAACTGATAGGAGAAAGCTCAGATTCAAAAGCTATCGCATTTACAGATGGCTCCTGTCAGGGAAATCCAGGACCATGTGGAGCAGGAGCAGTAATTTATACTGTGAACCACCAAGGAACTAGCTTAAAAAGACAAGTAGCTAGCACAGGCTCAATATTCTTAGCGGAACTCGTAGCTATCCTTATGGTTTTGGAACACTGCATTTACACACTTAAGAGAACAGTTCACTGAAGTAAAGATTCTATCAGATAGCCAGACAG